GTACACCGGTTTCTTAGATGTATCTAGTTTAGCCATCAACAAGTAAACAACACCAGATTTGGTAATGATGACCATGTTGATCTTTTGGAGGGGGTAAACCATCCGTCCTTTTTCTGTGAGGTCATGGAAGAGAGAAATTTCTAAAGCTCATGTCTTAAGAAAAGTTACCATTTCTGCATATGGTCTTGAGAAAAGGGAGCCAACTGGCCAGGGGATTGATGTTATGGAGAACGAGTTTTTATAAAAGAAAGAGAGGCCTAGAAAGAAAACCTTCAGGAAAAAGGAAAAACCTAACTTCAGCAGGGAAGGAGAAAACGAAAGGGGAAAGGTAAGCTTTATATAAAGAAGTTTATAGAAGAGAGAGGTAAGAAATAGAAAGGGGAAAATAAAAGGATATGGGAAAGGGGAAGTAAAGGAGAGGGGAAGGGGAAGAGTGAAGAAAAAAATAAACAACTCAAAAATTTCCTAAAAAGGAAATTTTCAAGTGCAGAAGGGGGAGTGGGAAAGAGTTTTTTATCCATATAAAATTATTTTTTAAAAAAATATTGAATTATTAGATGTATAATAATTTGATAAATTATATTTCCTTTATTATTATAAAATAATTTTTTTAAATATTCTATTTGTATTCTACTAAAATAATATAAACAAACACGTTTAAACTTAATTATTTTTATATAAGTATATTTTATGAATATAATAAATTTTTTATATAATATTATATATTTATTTTTCTATGTACAGTAATTAATTACTCTTGACTTTACTAAAAAAAAAAAAATCAAATATATTGCAACAGCAATAAAAAATAATTAAATTTGTTTGAAATTCTTCTACCGATTTCTTAACAAGTCTGACTTAAGTAGGCTGCTAAAATTTTATATAATATCTATTTCATTTGAAAAAAGCAGTAAAATTACACGTTACTGTATTCGCAAAAAAAAATTTTTTTATCCTTTATTAAAAGTAAATTTAAACTGATTCGTTTCGAAAGACGAAAATGAGAGCAATTTTAAAGTCAACTAATTTCTACAGTATTTATTACGACACATGAGAAAAAAATTTATTTTATCTACATGCATTACATAAACATATCCACTCAGCAAAATAATCAAAGTCATTTAAGCGAAATTATATTAAGATATCTCAAAGGAAATATTAGTATACGCGGCCTGTATCGACGAACTCTCGAGCTAAGTCACGAGTTTTGTCAACAGGCAAGGCTGCCATTCCCGCTAAGTGCAAATAAAATAATGATATTTTAGTACGTACAAAGATAATGAGTTCAATGCAAGAATAATGAAAGTTATACATACCGGCAGTTTCAGCTGGAGGCTAAGTTGATTAAAGGAGGGTTAAAAATAAGGCGAAAGTTAATGCTCATGTAATAGTATAACAACAAAACCACTTTAAAGATTTTAACATACCTTATCAGGAGCATGAGGATGAGGACTGATAAATTTTTTTAAAAAAAATGCCATTAGATAGACGGTAACAAAAATATAAAAAGACTAAAGAAATCAAGAAACTTACTGAGTAGGAGCAACCTTACGCGTGGATACATATTTTTCGCCACCATCATTGAGAATTTCAGCGGAAACATTTTCTTTGAATTTAGGAAGGATATCCTTTTCTTCTTCTTCAATATGAGACATAAGTTCCTGGTTTTCGTTAATGGAATATTAGAAAATCGAGATATAGGAAAAGTCAAAAACGTAGTTATATCCAAACAATAATTACATTCATGACTTTCTTGATAAGAAGCGTATAGCCTTCGTCAGTGATCTTCATGCTATCCAATTTTGCAAGATCTTTTTTGACTTGAAGATGTTCGTCACGAGAATGATCAGCCATCTCCGACCCATTTTGAAGATGTTTTTCGAGCAACGGGTAGAAGTTAATTTCTTCGCAAACAGAATGGACGGAGACTGTTGTATAAAGAAATCAACGAGTAAAAAAGTTATAACTATAAGTCGATGAATAAAATGAAAAATCAAATATTCTTCACGTCCAAATACTTACTCTCTCGAATAATTGTGTTTGCAATTTTCTGACGTTCGTTATTGTCTGATTCGGACTCGTAACGTGTCCAAAGCTTATTGATAATTTTATGGTCTTCGAGTATTTCGGAAACAAGATCTTTCGACATTTTTTGATAAAAAGCTCTTTTTAGTAATTGAGTAGAGAACATAAATTCCGGACCCGAGAAACTACTGTTTATATAGACATTACTGACGTGATTACGTTTATGAATGAAGTAAATTTTACTAAAAATTATTTCATACTCTAATGATTATTACAAACTATTTGTGATGTAAAAATTATTACATTTATGTATCATTACGAAAGGTAAACGAAAGTAAGGTTTTCTTATCAAAGCAATTTTTCTTTAGCTCCACGCCAATCCAATTCTGTAAATGACAAATTTAAACGTCACCTTCAACCTACAATCAGTGAGAAAAATCGTGTAGATTTTAGATTTTTTGGATTTGTATGAAATATGAAGTAATGAAATTTCTACAAATATACGGTATATTAGTTTCCTTGCTGGAATTGCGTGAAGATACTCTCATCGGTTATATTATACTGTAATAATAAATACATATACGTAAACAAATTTACTTGTATGTTATTTATAATTTATTTTTAAATGTAAATAGAAGCCTTTCTTATTTTTTAAAACTTGAATTATTTGATTTTGCTAAAACCCAGTTATTGCATAATTAAATAATTTATTATGTCATTATATTGTAACAATTTATTCATTTATTTATAATAATAACTTTAATGTTGATTTATAATTTTCTGTTTTAATTTAATTTAAAAATCAATATTCTATACTGTATATATAAACAAATATATAAAAATATATAATTGTAAATAATTTTTTTTTATTTGGATTCTGAAATTTTATATACAGTTTGTTTAAAAAGTTTTTAAACAAATTTTCAATTTATATTTTATTTACAATTAAATAAATAATTGATAAAATAAAATAAGAATTTAAATATATAGTATATTAATAAAAATATATAAAATAGATTTAACTGGTTATAAATTTTATTTAAAATAATATTATTTTCTATTCTATTTTAAATTTAAAATTAAAAAAAATACAAATAACTTATTGCTATATAACTTTTATTAAAATCAACTAATTTTAACTTTGAGATGATAAAATAGTATATTAATATTCTAAATATTTTTTTTAAATATTTTTTTATATACTCCTTCTTATTTTTATATTTTTTTAATTCTTATTAAGTTCATTTTTAAAAAATCTCTTCTTTTTTCTATTTTATAATTATTTTTATCAATATTTTTGCTTCTTCTAATATCTGTAATAATATTTTATCAATAAAAAGTCAAATAAATAATAAAGTTTTTTTTTCTTTAATAATGGTTAATTTGAGACTTTTAATTTATTAACATATAAATATCAAGAAATAAAATATTTAAATACAAGTTTTAATAAACAAGTATTAGAATTTATAAAGATTTCACATTAATAAATTGTTTTTTTTTAATAAATTGTTTTTTTCTTTAAAAAATTTACTTTCTTTTTTAAGAAATCTGATTTTTTTCTAGTAACTTTATTATGAATTAAGCGAAATATATACAAATTATTGGAATATTTTTGATATCAAAAGTATATCATTAATTTGTTAAATTTGTTAAAATATATCTAATATTAGGTATATATTATTAATTTGCTAAATTTGCTTTAAGTTAATTTTTTCAATTATTAATAAAAAATTAAAACAATTAAAATTAATTATATTAAGATTAAATAATTAGATTTTTAAGTATTAAAAAAATCAAATAAGTAAATATAATAAATCAATAAAGTATTTAATACCTATTTAAAAAAGTTTTTTTTTATAGATTTGAAATTACTAAATCCTATAATACTATTAATTAAAGCTTTAATTAAAAATCTAAAATTATATAAATTCTTTTATAAATTTTTTTTTTTGGAGGGGGTTTTCCCCAGTAGGTAAACATCATTTCTTTATTTTTATTGTATATTGTAGGTATTGTAACACAGGAAAAAGTAACGCACCTCACACTGAATTCTGGGTTCCCCACGATATTGGGAAGAAAACAGCGGTATCAAACACAAT